CAGCATGTTTGGTTGCTAGGAAATCGCGAGAAAACTGCAAAAGAGGAAAATAATAAAAATAAACCTCTCAATTTAAACAGCCAAATACTGAGGGTATCTCAGCTGTAAGGCATCACTGCGCTAAGCTGTTCACTCAACGTAAACCAAACAAGCAGAAAAAAGCAAGATTCCACAAATACATCCCTCATTCTCTCTCGGTTTTCTCGAGAAACAAACAGATAACAGAAAAAGTAGAGCAGAATCACAAAACACAAAAATAGCAACAACAACAAACTAAAAAAAAAATTTAAAACCAAATCTGAAACATACACCTCTTTGAAACAGAGAACAAACTCTACTAAAAGAAAAAAAAAATCGAAAACTAAGAATCAAAAAGGAGATTTACCTGAGTAGATTCGCAGATCAAAACTGGAGAACACGAAAAAGAAGAAGAGGATCGATTTTCCGACGGTTGATTTTGCAGAGAGAGTAAAGAGAGCTTACTAGAGAGAGAAAGCAAAGAAGAAGGGGGAGCGAGAGGAAGAGGAAGAGGAAGCTAAGGACCCTCCATTTGGCAGAAAGCAACAAAAGCTTATTTGCAGACAATGTGAAACTCTATGCATTAAAATAAAGCTTTAAAATTGCACACACACAAAAAATAAATAAATAAATAAATAAGGCTTTAAAAAATGTAATTTTGTCTCATAAAAAACCAATCTCCTTTTTATTTTTTATTTTTTCTCTTTTTTCTTTTTTTCTTTTTTATGTTTCCGGCTTTCCGCTTATTCTGGTCCTTTTTTCAATAGACCGCCGAACAAATCTGCTGTAGCGGATATTATTGGCTTTGTTTTCTGGATGGTTAGATCGTAGCCGTTCATCTTGAATCATGGATATACCTTTTAATGCGGCGTCTGTTGATCCACCAACTTCTTTTGAGGAAAAAACGGCGTTTTTTTTCTGTTTTTTTCTTTTCATATAATCATGTTTTCTTTTAAACATTTTTTTACTGATGCAGTCTAAAAATAAATTTTATTATTTTTATTTTAAATTAAAAAATAATTAAAAAAAATTCTCCCTTTTTTATTAATTTTATTCACCTATTTATAATTTAAATTCAAAATTTTTATTTTTATTAAAAAAATTATCCCTCGTCCACTCAAAATGTTACCTTAAGTTTTAACAAGTATTAAGGTTCTATTAGTAGTATGGTTTTAATTTTTTAATTTTAATTTTTTTAAACTTTGTAATGGTTGAAAATCAAAATAAAAAATAAAAAATTAATAATTTATTTAAAATATATTTTAATAATAATAATTAATTCTATAAACTTATTTATAATAGTATTAAAACAATTTTTATTCTTATTTTATTAATATTAAAAATCTATTACTCCTACGTTAAAACTAAACTTTAGTTTAATTTTTATTCTAAATTACAAATTTTATAAAATTAAAATTAAAATTTACAAACTAAAACCACAATCACGTTAAATAGAACTATACTTAATCTTTTTGGGTCAAATAAATTTCGATCATTTTGAGGTGCATCTCTTTTTTTGAATGGATTCAAGTCCACTCCTTAACAACATTGTTTAAAAAAAAAATAGAACTAATTTTTTTTTTTTTAAGCATGATAAATTATGGAAATAAGGGAATTTTTCATGTAGTTGTGGGAGTTACATTTTTAATTAATTAAATCTAAATATTAAAGGTTAAAGA